TCGCGCAATGTCATAGCAAACGCCATCTACCAAACCATAAGATAATTTTAATTACATAATATCTCAATATGACCATACGGATGATTTTAATTTTGGAATACGGTAAAAATATCATTAAGCTGTAATTTAACCCAGCAATAATAATAAATGTATCTCACATTTGTAAGCCTCTGATGAAATGTATCGTTGTGGACAAGGAGGGGTGTAATGGGTGCAGTCGTAGTTAAAGTTGTCAATAACTCTTGCATCGGAAGAACTGTACATTGCACAGAATCCTGAAGATGAAATATTTAATAAAACAAAATGGATAAGTGTAGCTACGGATAACTTAATACATGTACATTTGAATATCTGTCTTTGAGGTAATAAAAGATCTTAAACCTTACCTGAGACAAACCATGTTGGAGCACATACTTCAACTGTAGCATTTGCCCATTCATTTATTAAACAGTGATAAACAAAGGGCTTGTTGTCACTTTTACTAATTTGGTTGCAATCCTTTCTGGCTGCAGCTTTTTCCCAATCATGTTGATTTCTAGGACAATTGGGAACTTCATTAAGCGTTGACAATGACGATGGATACATAACTCCATTGCTTCCATGCAGCTAGTCAATTAAAAATGTTCAGAACTATCTATATGAATGTTTATCTACTGATTAAGGGACTAATAAAGGGAATGCAACTGAGCTGTGGATCATATTTGGCTAAGTTGCCTGAGTATAACTTCATTTGAATACAGTGGAGCCCTATTTATCCGGATTCTTTGGTTCCTAGTCAATTTGGCCGGATGTGTGAAGAATCTGGATACCCGAATCATCAGTTGAAGAAATAACAAAATAACGTTAAAAAATTCCGTTCCAATGATAAATCATCCGAATACTGAAGCATCCGGATATCTGAAGGTCACTGTACTCAATTTTTTTTTTTATTTTAGATTTTTCTTCAAGAACATTCTTCTTCCAGTTATAATTGCAGATCGGAAACAAGAACAATATGTCAAATAACCCTTACAAATTAAAATTAATGATTAATTAATTTTAGTCAATGACTCTTAGCTGCTATATTTCTTTCCTCCTAAATATGACAAATAAATTAGATGCCTTATAAAACTGCATGTAATAGTATTATAATCACTTACTGTTTTTATTGATGCAACTGATATGACAAATACAAGAAGAGATTGCATCATTTACTTTTTTACCAAGACTTTGTGTTAATGGATTGGCTGAAATATAGATATAGAGACAATAAAGTCTTTCCATATCTGAAAAATTTATTTGTATAATTACATACATGCAGAGTTTTCTGCTGAATATGTATTTTATAAAAGTGACCCCCTGCCCTAACATTAAATGATAGGTTTTTTATGTACATAAAGTTAAAGTTATAAAGATGGTAAATATTGATTAAGTTAGGAGTCTGTAGTAGTTCTGGTATCTCGTGTTTTGATATTTTGCAACATTTTACAAAATAAGTTCGTAGAACTTCATTAGCAAGGACTAAAATCGAATTATTATTAAGATTGTCTTATGGTTTGGAAAAAAAGTCTTTGACAACCAATTTATATATATCTATATACGTAAACATGTACATTAAGGAAAATATTGAAATTTTTCTATTGTCATGAAAAGAATTAAAAACCTCTCCTACAAATTATGAAGTATAATAATATTAGAAATGAGGCCATATTATAAAGGATGGGGGAAAATAGCAATCTTTCTGTGATATATTTCCTTATCGAATTTATGCTAAAGAGAGGCAAGTCTTTTGCAACCAAAAAATACTTAATTTCTTATTCATGTCGATTTATTATATTCTGATTACTACATTTTCAAGACTTGCAAAAGTCTGCTTATAATTGCGTTCCTTGCGTTCCTTTTATCAATTACATTGTAATACCTCACTATTCGTATAATTTTATCGGTATTTTACTGACACCCTTATCGGCGAAACACTATTTTCTTGTTATCGTTGACTGTTAACTTATATTATAAATGTATTCGATTTGTAGTAGCAAAATATATATATATATATATATATATATATTTATATATATATATATATATATATATATATATATATATATATATATATATATATATATATATATATATATATATATATATATATATATATTTCTGTTTTATCATTCTATATGTATGTAGCTAAAAGGTTATTTCCTTCAACACTAAGACAACCTTTCAATGATAGATTGAGGGAGAAAAACTTAATTTCACGGGGTATACAATCAAGAAATTTCCTATTAGAAATAACATACAACGGGAGTAAAGATTATCATATAGATTTCTGTTTGAACAATTCCTTCTCACCGTGTTGCTGTTTTGTACTTTTGTATATTTTTGTCTGTTTCCCCAGCAGATATTAATAAGTTTATGACAAAAAAACTTTTATTTATAAAAATCTTACCTTTATACGCACGTCACTAAGTAGATGGTTATACTATGAATCATAATTAGAGGAGATAACAAGAAACGCAAGGTGCGCTTTATACAAAGAGATAAAAAAAACTTGATATACTTTGAGCAAATAGATACGTGTATTATAGTTTGTAGCTTAAGGAAATGTGTATAGCACGTATGCAAACCTTTATTGCAAGTCTATTTGTAATCTTGTAAAATCACAGGAGAGGTAAATCAGATTAAGTCATTTTCCTTTTAGCTATATACATAGTTTTTTTATATTTTCGAAGAAACTTTCTTTTACTTATTCAAATATTGACAAAAAAGGATGTTCTAGAAAAAAAATCGCAAGTCGACATCTCCCTTAAATTATAAATATGAAGGTCATGGTTAATATCTTTTTTAAAAACTTATGTCATAATAAATCTTTTATTATGATCTCGCCTGAAAAGCAGGTTGGTACATGTATGTAGTGAAGAGGGATTCCGTCTGTATGTCCTTCCGCCTATTACATTTTATCCGCAATTCCTCTTACCACTGAATGAAATCTATTGAGACGATGTCAGAATCTCTTTGTTACATAGTGCTATCGTATACCTTCTAAATTACTTTCTTGTTATGACACATATTTTGGGTTTTCTGTAATGACACATATTTTGGGTTTTCCATGGCAAAACACGGGAAATCTGTCTTTCTATAATATTGAAGGGTAACTATCTTTTATTTGCAACTCCTCCTACACAACTGAAAAAAATTAACATTTGCACTTTTTATATTAAAATAAAATGAGGTATATCAGACACGTGTCCTTAATGGAATGATTAATGGGTTCAGATCCTTACCATGCCCATTTATAAATTCCGTGTTTTAGTTTATGTTTTGTTTTCTTTATATAGGAAATTCGTTTTTCTTTAAACAATAATTTTCTTCTCTTTATTTAGGAAAAATGATTTCTTTTTCCTTATTGATAATTTTGTTTTCTTTATTAAATGGTTTCGTTTTTCTTTATTTAATAATTTCTTTTTTTTTTTTTTTGTTTAGTTATCCAAATTAATTAATTTGGAGTGCACAATTGATCTTTCGAATAAAGCTGATTCTTTTTGTTTTGAAATCGTATCAACAATGACGCACGGCAGACCGAGTTATTGTCCTTTCCCAGATAATGCACCACTCTATCAAGTGACATTTAAATACTACTTTTGAAGTTGCAGTTTTGTGTGAGACATGGTCTAATGGAATTGACACTTTTTTAAGTATTTAAAGCCGACTGTCCTTCATAGGTCATTGCGCCCTCTGGGTAGGGGATTGCCATTTGTCAGCAGTGTTAAGGCCTACTATAAAGAAATCAATGGTAATGTAGACGCGCGAAAAACGGTAACTTTTTAAAATTAATTTATCTAATAAGGCCGTTTAATTATTATATAACTTAAATATTTATCGATGTAACACATTATACCCCACTCTCTACTTAACTAAGTTTGGTCCCATCTATGGACAAATTCAATATTGTAAGTGCATACCCTAGTAGAAATTAAGTTAACATTTGTTTCTGCATTTTTTACCTCCTTGAAGTGCTGCTGCTTTAAAAAGAATTCGCATTTATTAGTTAAAATTTCAAGTAAATATGCTCATGTCGAAATATGTACAGTATGACCTTTACCAAGTATTTTATGTCCTTATCAAGTAACACTCCTGATTTCAAGTAGCATCACGTTTCAAGTTTAGGAAACCATCCCTTATTTATATTCAAAATTTGCTATCATATATTGAGTGCATGTCCTTGCGATAGGCGATTTAATAAGCCAACTCGATGTTAACCATGCCAAACCTGTACACAAAAACACGATAAAATTAATTATATACATTCCCTCTCTAATCATTGAATAATTGCGCTAAATAAAGGTTTTATATTAGTATTAATAGCCTATTTAAAATCTGTAAATAATATTCTGTTTTAAAATGAAATACATTTTACAATATTTACATTCAGTGCAATTGTCTTTATGAAATCCATTACAAATCCATGACGTTCCAATCTCTATAACACACGCCAAACCTTGTTACCGCGCGTTAGAATATACAGTAGGAACTATATGCATTTTCAATACTTTATGAATACCAAACTGTACATTGTTTGACAAAATTTAATTTAAAAAAAAAATTTACCAGTTTTAAAGGGCGCTAAATTCACATCAAAGAATACCGAAATAAACTATATGAAGAGGAAAAACGAAAGAGTGTAAATATAAGTATAATTGAATTCATATTTTGGTATGTTGGTATGACAAATTATCATACCGCGCTATTCAATTTTTCGGCACGGCCAGGTGTGTTTTAGGACCGAAGACACCCCAAAATATAAATTCAATGCTTAATTGTAAAAAATATAATTGATCTGTCTTTCACAACACATAAAAAACGTCATTATTACCAAAATGACGTCATGTCGACAAGTTTGCTGCGATTAGTTTATTAAGCTAATACAGTTTGAAATTGCAAATTATTTGATTTTCTAGTATTATAAGGAATACAAAATGTATCTATTTTTGTGTGACGTCGCAGTAAATATTTCCCCTATAAATAAGGCCCCACCTCCTTTTTCAAACCTTGATAATGCTGCGTTGACACTCACCGGTTTTTTCCTAAATATTGAAAAACAGATGTAGATGTTCCTTTATTATTAATCAAATAATAAATAATTAACTATTGAATTTATTAAATATCATTTAATTTGTGAATTTATTATTATTTCATTTATTTATTTATTGATTAAAAAAAAGTTTAATCTTACTGCCTCATCATTTACGCTCCCCATATATACAACACCATATGTTGTTTACAAGTTTATCTTTTAAAAAGATAGGTGAGCTAGCGCCGTAGCCATTTTTAAACACAGAAAGGAAGATCCGTGATCAAGTGAATTATTTTTCTGAATTCTTTAATTTTTATCGAGGCTGGAGAGTGATAAAGTTATTATTGTTTTGTGAAGCGTATTTTGTAGACACATAGGAAAAGAAATACGGGTGGGTGGGTGACCTATAGTATTAGAGTTCTGGCGCAACGGAACATACATGTATACATGTATAACCTTTACTGGAGGGGGGGGGGGGGGTCTATGTAATATGATGAAGATGCCGATTGAGACATTGCATGTATGAGCTGATTTAAAGAAGAGAATTGCTTGGAATTTAGCAAAGAAAATACATGGGAGTTGAAATTTAAGGAATATAGAAAATAACTCAGTGTATGTTGTGAAGCCCGGAGAGTCCAGACAGTTTGGAACGCATGTGATGTAGGTACTTTGGGTCATCTTTGCCAAGATATCATGTTACTAGGTTAAAAGCCATGCATACACATCAGAATTTTTTAAACGCAAATAGTGGATTTATTCGTTATTTTTAGTGTACATTCTTGTTTCTGTTTCTGGAATTTTGAAGATTGGCTGAATTGACCAATCAGAAATTAGAATCTATCTTTGGTTGTGCTTATAGATGAAAAAAAAAAAAAAAAAAAAACTCCCTGGTCATTGCTAAGAAGAATCAGATAATGACTCGGGCTTTTCTGTCAGCAAACAAAACCCCCAGAATTTGAAATACTGGTAGTATAAATATGAAGTTATCTTTAAAGTGTAAGCTACACAATAAATAAATATTTATTTCATGCTACAAAATGATACAACGAAATTGTTATCGTACGGTCTAACAGTAATAGATTTCACAGTTTTCCCAGAATGCACGGCCATGGCGGCCGAGCATGCGTATTCAAGGGATTTGGACTAACGTAGTTGCTAGCGCTCGAGAG